GAAAAAAAAAAAAAGGAACAGAAAAAAGAAAAGAAAAAAAGAGAAGAAGAGGAAAAAGAAGAAAGAAAGAAAAGGAAAAAAAGAAGAAAAGAAAAAAAGAAGAAACCACATCCCATGACCGGCAGCCGGCCGATTGTCTCGCCTGCCGCCGCCGAGTCGGAGCTCCCCGGCGACGACGCGCTGCCGCTCGGCTAGCGCGGAGAGCCGCTTCCCCTCCTCGGCGAGCGCCACCTCCGTCTCCGCCTTGAAGGCGAGCAGCTCCTGTTCACACCCGGAGGCTGTGAAGGCCCCCTCCTCCTCGCAGCGGGACCCCTGCCCCCAGCCCAGCTCGCTCTCCTGCTCGACCTGCCGCAGCACGCCGCCCTGCTCGACGAGCTCAGCCTGCCCGTCCCCGATCAGCCCGAGCAGCTCCTTGCGCGTCGCGGCGACCGACGCCTCCAGCCGCGTCGTCTTCTCCTCCCCGCCCGCCCGCAGCTGCCTCTCCGCCTCGATTGCGCCACTCACCGTCGCCTCGATCTCCTTCGCAAGGTCGACCCACCGCCGCTCCGCCTCGTGCAGTCCGTGCGCCAGCTCCTCGCGGAGCGCCTGCGCGTGCCGGCCCGCTAGGTTGCTGCGCAGGTCGATGTCTGCGCGTGTGTGCTCGAGCAGCCTCGTGGCCACCGTCCGAGCCTCGCCCGAGAGTCCCGAGGTGAGGGCGGCGATCACCGACGCGCTCGGCGGCGGCGAGGGTTCGATTGGCACCGTCGCCGCTGGCGCAGTCGTGCGGCGCTCCTCAGCGGAGGCCGCCGACGTCATGAATGAGGCGTGCAGCAGCGGCGCGGTGAAGGCCGCCTCGGCAACCCGCGGCACCTTGTAGAGCGGAGGGCCGGTCCTCGGCGCGCGGAGGTTTTCCTCTGTCCTCGCGATGATGCGCCCGATCTCGGCCTGCCAGAGCGGCCGTCCGCCCATGGTGGCGACGAGTGGCGGCAGGTGGGCCTGCCCCGCGTACCGCTAGATGTTGAAACGTCAAATTTAAAGAAATCGCGCTGGCCAAAATATGCCGCGAGGAGGGCAGAGCTGCGCCGAGCATCGAGAGCAAGGGAGCGGCAGGCGGCGGCACCGTCGCAGGACGAGGCAGAGGAGAGCGACGGCCGACGCGACAGAGGATGAAGCGAGAAGAAGAGAGAACGACGAGAGTGGGACGACCGCGGGGTGGCATGAAGCTTGAAGGTTGCAGCGAGAGTCGGCGAGAAACTGCGAGGAGAGATAGGAAGTGGTAGACGCCCAAGGGTGGGCGACGGCTAGCGCATCACACCCCTCTCCTTAAAATCCCTGTGTGGTGGCGGCGTGCCGTCCTCCCATCCCTCCCTTGGGTTGTCTGTTAGAGTGGACCTGAGCAACGATATGACTTGGCGGCAAATGATTGGAGTGGGAGTCAGAAATGTGGTCCTTGCGCGAGGGGAGCTCGATAGACTTGAGGGGCCAGGATACGCCGCGAGGAGGACGGAGTTGCGCCGAAAGGCGAAAGAAGCCGCGAGAACAAGGGACCGGCAGGCGGCGGCGCCGCAGGACGAGGCAGAAGAGAACGACGCGACAGAGGAGGAAGTGACAAGGGAGAGAACGACGAGAGTGGGACGGCCGCGAGGTGGCATGAAGGTTGCAGCGAGAAGCGGCGAGAGACTGCGAGAAGAGATACGAAGAGGCAGACTCCCCAGGGTGGGCGACGGCTAGCGCATCACACTCCTCTCCTTAAAATCCCTGTGTGGTGGCGGCGTGCCGTTCTCCCATCCCTCCCTTGGGTTGTCTGTTTTCTTTCTTTCTTTCTTTTTGCTACATAGGTTTCCCGAACACAAACCTCCTTTTCAATCCCAGCGGCAGGTCCCCAGTTCGAAACCTGGTCGACCCTTAATCTTTTTGTTCACACCTGAGCGGGCTCAATTTTGCTCAGATGCTACGAATTCGAACTCGTGTCCTCACGCTTAGCGTGTGTTCGTTTTTCGTCACGGGATACTGACAACAACCTAAGAGGAAAGCTGCTGCACCCGCAATGTGCCTGAGGGA